CCTTCCCGCGGGGATGTACGTGCATACGGGCCTAAGACAGCTTAGCAGCGATGCAGCATTCCATCTTCTTTCTAATAGTTATTGTTACATTGGAGCAGATTCAATGAGTTTTGAAATATTACCAAAATTTGCGACCCACGCTTTTCGAGATGCTCAAGTTTCACAAACTTTCTAAATTTTTCTATCAAACTTCCAAAGGAGTCCAAGTAACCGGTGGATAACTCTCCAAGCTACAAGACAATTTTTCTTTCTTTTCCATAGCTCGTCGTATTTTTCATGAGTATTTTAATTGATGCTACCAATTTCCATAGTTGCTCAACGCAAACCTCGAGGACATCAAACGGTAAGCGGCTCGGGTGTCATTCGATGCAGCTTTTCTCTTTTCTAAATGGTGTTATTTGTTTCCGCTTCGTGGAGTCCTCGGAAATAAAATCATGCGATTCATGTTTGCGAACGCGCCCCGTCCTGTAGCAGAAAAAATCGAATTTAGATATTTTGATTCCGTAAACTCTCATATGCCTTTCAAATCCCGAAGATTTATTGATGTTTGATGCGTTTCTTTGTCGTTTATGTCTGAAGTAGACCTGCCAAAATCCGGTGGTTATAGTAAAAAAAAAGATTCTAAGAAAGTTATGGCTATTTGGGAAAGAGAAAAAAGCTGTGATGTTTCCTTAGGGTTTGCTCTATCCGCCTGCTACTTGGACTTTTAGGAAATTGATGTAAAAATATAGAGAATCTGTGAAACTTAATTGGTATTTTTTCCAAGAACTTATTCACTATGTAGCAGTGGAACTAAAATTAAAAAAGAGGATGAAATGCTGCATCGAATGCTAGCAAGACCCCTCAAATATCTTTGCTCCATCAGGTGTGGTGTCCCTTTGAGAAAGGCGAAATTACTTTCGAAATGACCTAATATGCATCAAAAGTACTGTAAATCACAGTTACTGATAGGAACCAAAAGAGTTTTAACTATATGTATATGGCTGACAGGATTTGTTCTCTTGCAGGATTGCTTACTACCACTTCAGAATACTAAATGAAAAAGCGATTTTCTTCAATTACATTGCGCTCATTCTCTCAAAGACTTAAAGTCTACTTTTTTTCTTTTCTTTTGAACTGGGGCCTCGCATTGTGCGGATGAGCAAAGAATTTGCTGTATACTCTTCCTAATTTTGCTAACAATAAGATGCTGGAGTTACTTTCTCGTCAAAAGGTGAAAAGTAAAAGTCACAAGATATCACCTCTTCGAGCTTGTTTGACTTCGGCTTCATTCACTTGCTTCCCAAGTAGCCATGGCTACAATCTTTAAGATCTTCTCAATGACGATGCAGCTGTTATCACTGCGAGTTAATCAAACTACAATTAGATGCAAATCGGTTTTTTCGGCTTTACGGCAGCGATAATTTCACATTCGTCATCCTGCCTATCTTATCTTTGGAAGCGTAATTGCTGCTCTCAAGCGGAGCAGGAAAGTCGTTCACTGAATCAAATAAAACTCTTAGAAATTGTGTTCAGTCAGTTGTGTTTATATAAAGCAAGCGATTGAGAATTGTTTGAAAAGATTGGTCGCCAAGGGATTTCAGTAGGATAATGAGAACGCATTTAAGCACGAAGCTCAGCTGTAAATGGAGCTGCAGAATTATATTCGTTAAAAATTTGGTAAAAGAAAGAATAAAGGCAGGGTTGAATTGGTAATGATTTTGAGAGATGACATTATCGACCGGAGAAAAGATGGAAGACTGAAGCATAGATAGCGTCAAGCATACCTTCGATACATAGAGCCATGTACTCTGGTAACCTTCACTTTAAGCGTCATGATAGAACACAACCTTCACCTGGAGAGAAGTACGAAGTTATTCGGGCGAAACCCTGGATATTATGACATAGTTAATGACATAACCATATAGGGATGAATGTGATTGAGGCAAATATAGCAGTGACATACAAAAAAAAGCTTAGAAAACCGAAGGATTGCATTTTTATGGCTTTTTTTTGCTGAGAAAAAAAGGTTTCTATTCAAAAATTCAATTGAAAACTAGAACAAGCTTTCTCGATTAACCTTTTTCTAAACTGCGATTGAGCATTGGAAGTCCAAAAAAGCTGCTGGAGTTCAATAAGAACGAGAAAGTGCGCTCAAATCTTGCGCAGAGAGTCGCCACATAAATGCTAGTCTACCTCGTTATGGAGTGATTTTCAAGACCCGCGACGTTGTCATTGCTCCTGGCCGTCTCATGAGGATCACAAAGATATATAATGTTATACGGTTTCGTTATGATCCCGCGGAGATCAACGACCAGAGCTAAATGCCCCGCCGGCTCTGGTCTGTCTCCGCGCTCGTCTGCGTCTCCGCGACTTGCGCGCTACCTCGCTACCCCATAAGCGGGGCGCGGGGCATTTGGCTCTGGTACCACCCTTTTCTTCGTTGTTCGGAGACCAATTTCGACAATCTATATATCATATTAAAGCTCTTGATCTCTATTTTCACGCTGACAACGTCTCAAGGCTCCTTTTTATGATTTAAACGAGAAATATGGGAAAAACGGAGTTTTCGAAAACCCCTTGTTTTTTCTTCAGTTCAGCTCTTTTCACTCGGTTTTTTTTTGTGTATTCGATAGGTCTTGTTTCGTCTATGATGTAGACAACGTCGCCGAGCTTACTTCTTTGCTTATGCCGGTTTTTTTATAAAATTTACCAAAAAGTGCGTTTTTCTTTACCTTGTTCTCCTTCAATGCTTTTGCAACGAATTTTCTCCAGCTTTGACGTTGCTTGCTCAGAATGATTAGCGGAAGAATCCAGACAACGTCGCAGGATACGAAACGACTATGCGGAGGTGTAAATTTAAAGGACGCGTCAAAAATTAGATTGGCGTCGATGTGCAACATAACTTTTCAGACATGTTTAACATGTTAAGTTCAGTTGTTGACAAGTTTGCCTTCTTTCGGTCTCCCAACTACCGCTACAGCTAACGCTTTTTTCGATTAGAAAAGAACTTTGTCCCTGTTGCCACCCAATTTAACCGGCAATTCTGAAGACGAAACTGTGCGTAAGAAACCACCAAGATAAGATTTCAAATTTTGTGATGTGCTATCCTCTGTTTTATATGAACTTTTCAAGTTTCTTGGTTTAATTCGTATCTCTAAATTTTCATCTAATTTTTGAAACAATCCTCACTTTTTATAACGGCAGGAACTCAAACAACTATCACTTTCTAGCCTTTGTCTCTTGACTATCGAAGGTATGGCGTCAAGGGTCTGACCGTCCGTTCCTTTTTCTTTGAACTAACATATATTTTTATCCTCACAACAATCAAGCACTTTGATCAAAGCATTTCCGTTGTAAAAAACATTTTGAGAAGTTTCTAATCAAGTTGCAAATCGTGACATGTTTACCCAGTTTGATTTTTGAGCTGAAGAAGTTTGCCCAGGAAAATCTAGATGCTGAAATGACATTCAAATCAGGTCGGAAACCCTAATTCAGTACACTTCAAGGCATTGGCGTAAAATTTTAGGCGATACCGTAAGCAAGGACCCTTACTAGCCCCGAAAATGTACGATTCGAAGATCGAATCAGATTCGCCGGGTTTGCCATCTAGTTTACTTATATTTATAAAAATGTGCAAGGACTTGTTCATTCTTGTAAGTAATTGGAGTTTTTTAAGAATTAAGAATTAGAATTAAAATTTCAGTTTATTCAAAATAAGTATTAAATAGCCGTGAAAAAATTTTCGGGAGCGTAGTTACCTCCACGTCTCCTTTTTCTAGATTTCAAAGGTTTGGGCCCGCAAAAGCCTTGAGAAAAGCCCCAAAAATTTTTTCGGAGAGCGTGGCTATCGCCTCATTTGAAAAAAATTTGCCCCCTCACCCCTGCCCTTATTAGTTTCTATCTATGACGCCCAGGTATTTCAATTAAGTAATGATAGCGCATAATTTCTTTCCCAATATCTATGCTCTCTATCGACCAGTGACTTGAGATTAAGGCTAAACAAGAAGTTATATACCAGGTTGATCGCACAATCTGGAATGAAGCTAATCTGATCTGCTCTTGCGTAAAGAATTGGATCTAAACGAAGATTCACTTCCAGACTCCAACAAAAGGTAACCTAAATAATGGAAGAACATCGGGCTTTGTCTACATCATCACAATCGTGTATTATGTGCCACGTTCTGATCGCCCCCGTTAGCAATTAGCAGCAGCAACTTTTTCGGTGTAGGAATCCACAATTCTTCTCCTAATGTGCGTACTGCCTATTTACAGGAGGTTTCGAATTACTCTTAACTTATATAGCCACTAGAGAAATTCCAAAATTCTCGCGGTAAACTTAGGAACCAAAAATCTTTATGTAAAATGAGAATGGCAAAAATTGGTATGGAGTGCCTAGTGAATAGGGATCCCAGTGAAATTGCAAAATTTGGGGACCTACTTTTGTGAATTATCAAATGTAAAAATGTATTCTTGAGAGCAATATCGAAATCACCAAAAATCCTTAGAACTTCGCCAAAGTTTTAGCTTTCTTTGGGGATACAGAACTTTTTCCGCAGTGTTGGGAATGGGTGATTGTGGGGGGGGGGGCAGGGCAAAGATTGGAGACTTTCTCGTATGCACCACACTAAATTGATAGTTTCGCAGGGCTTTGGGAAGCCGGACTTCACAAGAATGATGTCCCTAAGCCTTTTACCCCCATAACAATATCTAACCTGCCCCGTGACCACCTGTGCCGAGCAGCTCATCTTATCACATTGTTCGGAAAGAATGGTTTGTGTACAACTGATTTTTTTCCAGGAACGTGATAGAAGGTCTCAAATTAAATTTTTATTGCGGTGAACAAAGCCATAACGAAGTACCAAACTGAAGAAATTATATTGTTATTCGCGAACAATATTCGGTTACACAAGAGATATGCGGGACACTGCTTCGAACAAAGTAAGTATATGGTGGACTAAAAATAAACAACTCTATGAGCTACCTACACTTTCAGCTGCAAAAAAGAGGCATTCACACACGCTGAAAACGGATTTATAGTAGCAGTCTGCAGGAGCTTCTTGAACAAGTGGTTCCATTACCACTTTGAAAGATTTTCCTTTTACAGCTTCTTCTATACGAAATAGTAGTCGGACACTTCCTCGATTCGCAGATGTCTCCGCTAACACAACGATCTCATGGTAAAGAAACTGAAATTCTTTTTTCTTTTTATGAGTTTCCTATCTTCCTATTCCATATGTTTGGTAAGTAGCTCATTAACAACAGTAATTAGTGAACTGTAAGAAATTTTGTTAATTAAGTATGAAGAAGTTATTAAGCTGTACTTGAGAAACGCTATTTTCGGCTGGTCATTCTCTTCTCAGTTTTTTTTACGCGCAGATTTACAGGAATTTATGCTTCATGACTTACAGAAACTTAGAACTTTTCGGGAGGTATCTAACTTACAAGGGAGGGATACCAAGGCGATTTGGCAAACCGTAGAGAGATGTACATCATTAGATGCGCCTTTAAACGCTTATTCAAGATCTGATTTATTTCCTCGCGGAAAAACTCTTTAAATGAAGTTGCGAACGTTTGAAAGTCCAAATTTGTCAGGTGTCATAAATTAGCGAAAAGTGTGAAAAACATGTATAGGTTTCCAGCATTGCTTCCTCGTAGTCACTATCAGTCAGTTCCTAATTTCCGGTGTTTTTTACAACTTTTCGCTGATATTATGCCACTTAGAACTTGACAAATTTGGACTTTCAAGAGCTCATAACTTATTTCAGATGGTTGTTCCTCAGAAAAAGAAGGCGGATTTGGATTCGGCGTTCAAAGACGCTTTTAGAGATAAACATCTCTTTGCGGTTTTCCAAAGTGTTGGAATCCTTTCCTTTTTAAACACTGCCTAAGCGGCAGCGCACGTGGTACATTCGGGTTGAGATTTTCACCTCCGAACCGATCCGCTACCGTATTTGCATTTGCATTTACCGGACACTTGCAGGGGCGTGCTTGCTTAAAAACACACCGCGCTTGTAGTGGTCCTGCGTAAATGCCTGCACGCCAATGCAAGTCGCTTGCTGAACGGTAGCGAGAACAAGCCTGGACATTATCTGACCAAAAAAGGTTTTTCAGTTTTCAAAATTTTCGAAAAACGAAATTGTCATGAAGATGACTAAAGCACCGTTTGACTGGAACCAGTTTTGTGAGTGTTTTCACAAACATGCGACTGCTTACGTCCATTTTTGGTGGCTTCTTGTTCCTGGCTTCCTCTATACGTGTAGCATTGTCCTTCCTGCGAAGTCCATGTCTTACTAAGGGATTTAGACCGAGTATGGTAGCGTTATCTGCTATTGCGGTCTGAGTGAAACATACAGCAAATGATCGAAATAAATAAGTGTAAGCTTACATTTGATAAGTTGAAACATCCTGCAAGCTCGCCGTTTCCGAGAAAACCTTGCACAACCATGAGAATGTCCTAAATCCTAGTCTAATAAATTAAATCAAGAAAGTTTTATCTATGCATAACCTCTCGCTTAGTAGCTTCATTTGCAGCATTTGTTAAATTCGATCGGTCTACTAAGCATGTGCAAAAATTTTCTGGGACATATGCATCAAAACAACTCCTGGAATGCATTCTGTCAGTAGCACCAACTCGTTGATTTTGGAAGGGAAAACATAAGAATTAGCTCGGCCTTTCGCAAAGAGACTATTAGATCGGTATGAAACTACGTCGTTTTACTTTCAAAAAATCTTAACTTCTCGCTGTTTAAAAAGATTTGTTTGGCTGTAATCTTTTGTGGAGAGAAGAAGCGTTCACTTTATAATACTATTTTGGCGAGTTTCTCTCAAATACTGGCAGCAGATATAAAATTAAATAAAGAGGATCATTCAAGCTTCAATCATTTTGAGACCGCCAAAAGTTTGAAAGGTTGCAGTAAAATCCGAAATCTTCAGTACATGAGTTTTAGGACCTAATCTCAACTGTAAAAATTTTTCCGTTTGAAATTTTCTGTACAAAGTCATGAATTTGAGTCCAATAGAGAATTCGCCAATTTCTTACTTTTCTCGAAAATCATAATTTCTCACCAAAAATTCAAGCCAACACAATTTTCTTGTTGCAAGGAGTAGGTTGAAGAACTTAACAGAAAAACTTCTAAGAAGTTGTCTAATAGAATCAACATTTCAAAAACACTGAAACACAACTTTCCAGATTTTTTGGAATTTTTTTTGAACGGCCTACTTCACGATGGCGCTGTATGCTGGAAGTTCCTGCGTTAATTCTACAGTAATGAAGAGAGATGGGTGACTTGCGTTAGCCATACTATCAAGCTAAATTGAAGCGTGCTCTACTGAACGGTACTTGTGGGTAAGCAAAAGTCTTCGTGGGAAAAGAGTTATTAACGATTGAAAAGTGTGTACTTATTGTCCATGTTCGGCTACATTGAACCTTGGCATGGCTTGTGACTTGGTGGATGTGTGATTGAGTGGTTGACCAAGATGGTACACAGTTTATTATGGTACAATGGCCTACGTTTTGGCGCTGTCGTCAGAATCTGGAAGTCGAACTATATCAATCCTATGCGGATTTGAATATCAGGTCAGGTCGGAATCGCAACGGCATATATAAGTAGAGCTGAGGCATAGTCTGCGGCGGTCTTCCGATTTCCGTTTTGCTTCTGGCTAAGGTTAGTGCTGCTATTGTTGCTCTGACTGGGTTTTCATTGACTTTTTCTCGAATAGTACTCTGTGTCCTTCGTTAACGTCTGAGGCATTGGATTCTGTTGAGTTCGCCTCCCCCGCTCTGACGAACGCGACAGCGCCGAAACCTAGGCCATTGTACCATAATAAACTGTGTACCACTTGGTCAGTCGCTCAAACCACACATCCATCAAGTGTGTACTTACTTTTGGGACAATCTGTATATTCTAAATTAGCTCAAGGCCTAAGACATACCTCACGCGATTCTAGTCGTTGCGCGATTTGACACTGCAGCGATCCTTCATAGTTTATCGTAAGCAAGCTTGGCCTGGTCGAGACTTAAAGCGTTTGCAAGGACTTACAAAAGCTACGCACCTATGCACTTGAGAGGGGCGCATAATGAATCTGGAAACATCTGGCAAATCGCCAAGTCGAGCGATTTGATGGAATCGTGACTGGTATGCCTTAGACCTAAGACGCTAATTCCAAATATGCTATTGTAGCTGCGGCGCACTATTTTGAAACAGCTATGAGTTTCTTGGTGTGGCTCCCGCCAGAGTGCCGAAGCCATGCCAGCTCTACTCCAGCGCCGAGCCAGCGTTTCGATCGATACACGTGTATTTCATTGGGGCGAGGCTAGCTGACCTAGTTCTCAGCCAGGACCCCGCCCCAATAAAATACACGTGTATCGATCGAAAGCTAGCTCGGCGCTGGCGTAGCGCTGGCAAGGCTTCGGCACTCTGACGGGAGCCTGTGCGAAATTCATATACACTCAATGGTAAACATGTCTGGAGGCAAAATCTGCAGAAAAAAGATGCTGGGATATCAAAAGACATCATATCAAATCGTTTCTCACTGACAAAATACTCAACCCAAGTATATTATCACTAATGATGCCGTGACGTCAGTAAGTCGATGATACGCAAATCTTGCACAGAAAGAATTAATAACTCGCTCCAGTTGATGCGCCGCATCTAGAAATAATACTTGGAATTAGTGTTTGAATCTAATTTAGAATTTTTTTGTCTCTTTCCAAAAGGCTGAGCTAACAATAAGTTAGATACCTTTTCTTTTGTGGAAACGACATAAACCAAATCTTTTACCTATTGGCGGATATCTCATCAAAGAGACTGATTCCCCGACCGTAAATTCTTGTACTCAATCTTCTCGCACTTCCGAAATTCATCAGCGCTACATCTTTCAAAGTTTGATGAATGTCGAAGTTGCTGGAAAATTTATATCAGCAAGAGAAACCTCAGCTGCTATAGCCTACAGTATAGGAGTTTATTGGAGAAATTATGGTTGGTTTGATTAACATATCAAGAAGGTACTAGTTCAAATTACTTTCGTCCGGGTCAAGTTACTTGGTTCGGTAGTAATCTGAAAAGGAAAGTCAATTGCATATGTCCGAGAAACGACATGCGAGGCAACTGCGGCAGATGCAAGTGCTGTGAGGTAGTTTTGGGATGAAACAACAGAACTTTCTCGTTCTATCAATACAGTAGTTCATCTACGGACAAAGCAAAGCGCCATTACGCCATTATGTTTATGGTTTAGCGCTTCCTAGAGACCTAAGTTTGCAGTGCTAGTGCTTCTCACTCCCTGCAATGCAGTTTACGACCTGTTTGTAGAATTATGATTCTAAATGTTGTACATGCTTGCGGCTCTATCACAACTTATTTTTCTCTAATAACAGTCAACTCTTTTAATGCTAAAATCATCACAATAATCTTAAAAGAGAAAAAAAAATTTTTCCAACTTACCTCGTCAACTTCCACTTGTTTATCATAAAATTGGAATATTCCTTCGGATGTAATTTCTCAAAATCGGGGGGCATGCGTATAGCCATTAACGGCATACGCTCCTCAATTCTGCCAGTATAAGAATATTGCTGCACTCCAACTCGATTTCCGTGATCACCCATTATGATGCTGACTCCTTTATCTAGCGCTCCTATCATAAGTTATCGTTGAATAAGATAAAAGTTTGAGCATCCGTTCACCTGTGAAATATAGATTTTCGAGACTTGATGAAATTTGTTCATCTAAGACTTCAAGCGTAAATCCATCTTCATGAGTAAGCCTATGCAGATTCTGTTTTAACATAACGATATTTGGAACAAAAAAGCTCACAGCAACTCACGTTGTCACAAATGTAAAGCCCATATGGCAGACGTCTTTGTACTTATTAGCGAAACGACGCCACAGATCTACATAACGTCGTTGAACTTGACCACCATCTTTACACTGGCTATACGTCCAGTTCTAAACTGAGGCAGCTTGCGCTGTTATGCGCTTAGATAGTTTTCGTATATAACAAGAAAGGATTGTATGTAGCAAAACTTGGAGTGATTCGCATCGATATAGTCACCCCCTCTACAAACTCATTCTCAATCGGGATCAGTTCAAAAAGTTGGTCTGAACTGTGCACTCGCAAACGGTCAAGACATTCGCTATATGTGTTCCCGTAAAGCGCTGGAGAGAAGGAAGGGTTGGAAGCAGACATTTACAACTCTTCCTTAGCAAAGCGTAGACTTGACACATTACGGCATTGCAAAAGCGCATAATGTCCCTTGACCTGATCCAGATAAAGACAGCGTGTATGTATACATACTTTGTATACAGCCAAATAATAAGTACGATAGAAGTGATCAGCAGGAGGTGATGTAAATCCAGGAAGAAATTGAGCAGAGGGGTAATGAAACAATCCGAGCCAGTCCACTGAGATGTCTTCATTGAGCATTGAACGGCATCCAAACTCTAAAATTACGGGTTTGAAGCATACGTGAAACTACACCGCGGGTGTAGTGAAACATGTAATCGCCGCGGACTTGAGCAAAGTTGATACTTTTTCCTTATCCAAACACATTTTTCCAAAGGATGCTTCTTGAAATGCGTGCTTAGTCCAAGGAAAGTTTTCCACATATTTTATAAAGGCTCTCCCTGCCACGCGTTCAAGAAAGAATTACAGCATTTTGGTTCAGCTGACATGTCATTTTTTTCGAAATCATTTCTGGTGTGATTGTGAGCGCTTAGGATGACACAAAAGCTGTTCGCTATTCATAAAAGCAAAAGTCCAAAACATTCACTAAAACAACTTGCCTCTTAGCAAAAATTCAAAGTTTATTTGAGTTTATAATCTTTTTCGTCATGAAATTCGACTAGCAAGGAGTATGAATGATGGCTTAAAGTACCTAGTCGCCTCTTATTTCGCTCTGCTTAGATGATGACACGCTAACGCACTTCTCTCTTTGCGCAGACCTGATATGTTCGCGAGAAATACCATGACATTTTCATAACACAGTGTTCATTTTCACGCTCAAAATTAAAAATGTCACTTCTAGTCAGAAACAGGTGAAAATACGTCAGTAAGTAGGCAATACAACTTTTAGTAGAACAGAATGAAAAATGTAAATGTATTTTATCATGTGGCAGGATTGACACTCCTTCGTGTAGAGACCTAATGTAGTACAAGTAGAAGAGCAGACACTATTCAAAAAAATAATGGAAAGGGTAGCGAGTCAATGCTTTTGAAATAAAATTATTTTCGAAAAATAGGAAACTGTCACTCACCCTTCGCCATCATCTTCCAAAGAAAGGGTATATTGGTTGGATCTAATTTACGTTTTAAAGGCAAAATCCAGTTAATATTTATGTCTCCAAATTCATCCAGTTTTGGTTCTTCAAGAGCTTCAGGAAGGTCACCAGCAAGCAATGACACAAGGTTTACTTCTGAGTTATCTCCAATCTAAACTGAAAGTGATGTAATGAGAAGCTGTCAGTACAAGTGAGAAAGTCAGAGTTTTGCATGCTATATAGATTTGCGCAAGAAATGCAAGCTTGCACATGTGTATAAATCGCTATGATTTCCTTTACTCAAAAGAACCTTACGAAAGCGTACACTGTGAGCAAAGGTTTTTGATGCTTCTGAGAACACAAAAGCAAATTTGCGCTGTCTTTTATTTAGGATAACGTGTGACGTGTTACTTTAGTTACACATACAAAGTATAAAGAATCTTCGAAAATGTCAAGACTTTGGAAAATATGTTGAGAAAAGCAGAAATGTGCTGCACTGCAAAGGAATTGCTTTTCTCCTAAAGTTTTCAAGAGCATAGACTAAAAACTATCGAGAGCAACTGGCTGTAAATGGAATCAGTATGGAAATCTATTCGTTAAAATAAAAAATAAACTGCCTTTATTTGTTTGATATGACTGCCTATTTCCCAAGTTGTGCGCGCATGTGTTCAAAAAGCCACAAACTTTTTATCAGTTATATCCATGTTGTAAAGTATTATGAAGGAAAGCAAACAAGACTTGAAACTGAAAAACTTAAAGCTTAGAAGGAAAGGCGTCGCAGAAATTCATACTTTACTGTGTTAGCTATGTTTGAAGTCGGTGCATGTGAGATCTGTGTTCGTTGCCAAAATCCATAATTTCTTCACTGTCTCATCATTTTGCCCGTGGGCCTATGCTTGCTTACATAGTCTCAATGAATCTTGCAATTGGTCTCTTTTGTACATTTGAGAATCAAATTGTATCGCACAAACCACCCTTTCGCCTAATATAGCAGAAGAGTAATTAGCACTTTTTTGACACACACCTTGTTGTAACCATAAAACAGCTCATAGCCTAGTTTGTTCATAGTTTCCAGAGTTCGAGGTAAATGTCGCATAAACATTGTTCGAGATGTCGAATCAAAACCAAGAATGTCGATAGAATAATGCGAATCTCGTGTTTTCAATGGCTCTGATGCAAGCTTTCTGCCATAGTCATCAAATGACTGGGTATCTCTTGCGTAGTAAACCTTGAATACATCAATGAGGCCAAAATTTAAGTAAATTATTTGTTCATATACCGTGTTAGGTGCTCTATCTAGGTCCCTCATGCCAGGATAGACATCTTCAAATATCTTTGTACCATTCTTGAAGCAACGAATGTAAAAGGCATCTCCATTTGCAAAGAATCGCTTATTTTCAAACACCTGTTGAGAAACACGTCGGACCAGCTGCTATGTCAAAATCAAGCAAAACAATTTAACCTCTACTTCAGCGACTTCTCTGAATACGTTTTTACCTTTGTTCGTTATATTATCTCTCAATGCTCCTTCCAAAAATACAACCTTAAAATCAAAATCAGCTAATGATTTTCGTAAAGTAGTTATCCTTGAGAGTATTTACCTTGCAGTTCACATCTTTCAAGTGCTCCGGATAATTCGCATAATGTGGATGAACGTACATGTATCCTTCGCTGTCCATGGTGGCAAGATCAAAATCCTCGTATGGACATTGTAGTTGACGCAAGCGTTCGGCTGGCTGGAAAGAATGTGTCAAAATTACTTGTATTGAACCTGTGGCTTTATACATCTCACATATTCCATGAGTCAATTACGATTTGCATGAGCTCACTAATTTGCTGCTCGTGTACATCTTTAGTAACCCACTTTACTGGGAAAGCCTCTGAGTGTTTACAATGAGATTTCAGCTGAATATGTTCAAGATTAGCTGGACATTGAGTCGCAACTTTTCCACTCACAACTTTTCTCCGGTCAACTTTTCTGCGGTCAAATAAAGAGAGTTTCAAGTTATTTGCGAGGTGATTTTTTGCTCCTCTATTGACAAAGAGGTCTTTTCTTCACGACTGTTAGAATATCATTGTCAGCTATTTCAATGTGAGAGACGAGTACCAATAATGACAATTTCATGAAATAATCTCATCAGGGTCACATAAGATAAGAACAGTGTTAGTCAAAAGAAATGAAGTTTAATCAAGACGGTAAAGGTGTTTTAATTTCCGAAAAAGGTGTTTGACAAGTCTATGACTTTCCGACTACTTTAAATTCAGATCGTGAAGCGCTTTCCAATTTTTGAACTTGCTCAAATGGGACAGCACCAAGCAAGAAAAGCCTTATGTTCTCACCAATTTTACGTTCTTCGGCATGATGAACTCTAGTAATCGTATTACAACAGTGAAGCTTTCAGAAATGAACTTCTTTCAAATGAACATATGAATGTATTGAACCCGTCTCTATGTGGACCTTTTGCCACATATTCAGAACTTATTGAGGAAACTATTTTTAAGCTGGAGAGGTGAAGATCGCTGTGCGGAAGTTTTCGAATCCTAATATAGACAAATCTACAACGACGTAATGCTCTCGTTCCTAAGTTAGCAAAAGTCGACGTAAAATATTGAAATATCAAATTTGAAAGGAATACTTGCAAACTTTTTGCATTTTTAAGGTTGCCACAGAGATGTCTCACCATCTTTATAAATCCTAGCAGAACAAGTGTGGAGTGTGGCACGCCACACCTGGGGATCGTATGGAGAAGTCAAAAGAAGGGGGTCGTTATTGAGTAATACTGATAACAACTATATCACCAAAAGCCTGATATTTGTAAACAGTCTGCCAGATGTCACATCATGTGAAAACAAGCACGTAGAATTTATCTGTCATCTTATACCTTTCGTAGCATAATAAAGAGGTTCAGCCAAGCATAGCGAGTAATTTATCCAAATTAAAGGCAGCGTCCAGGCAAGATCCATCCACGCAGATTAGCACATAGTTGTAAAGAGGGCCCATGAGTACCCAATCTGCGTTGGTCCGATCCTTTGACGTGACCTCTAAAAGGAGATATGGGCCTGTGATACGTATCACAAACCGCCCCTTCGTATCACAAACCACCTCTGAGGACGAGTGCTCACGCAGGTATGCAGTTGCATTGCACTTGCATAGCACACTGCAATGCAACTGCATCCGTGCACTGCAGCTCCTCAAGTTGGCATGCGATGGGGACGAGCAATCCGAAACTCGTCCGCTCCTTGAAAAGAGGGTCCCCAAGAATCGGGTTTTTAGGGGGTTTTGAACAATTTGAACTTCACAACTGTAATCAGGGCCACGGAAAGGCCCCAGAATGGCAGAAACATGAGAGGCGAAATTTTGCACGGACGCTGTCTTTGAGCGTGTCAAATAACCTTTATGGATCAAGTTTGTGTGAACCCTGAAGTTTCCAATTACTGGACCACCTGTATGAATGCTCATTTTCGAACATAATTGACTTTGTTCCAAAGGTAAATTAATCCTAACTTTTTGCACTCACAAAGTAGGTTTGTTTGGTCGAAGTGGCCTTTTCACATAAAATTGATACGACTATGAAAACCATCGAACGCTGAATCTAAATCTTTCTTCATTATCTGCCGAGCGCCTCTGGACGTCGAGTTATTAGCGTTTTTTGAGTAGAAAAGCTTAATTAGAACAAAATCCGTCAGAATTGCTGAAGAGGTCCAATGTTGATTATTGAAGCACTCCGTTCGAATACCTTTGTCCAAAGCACTCAATACTGCTCTATATGAGCGCTGAGAAGACCGTAAAATTTGATTTTACCCGGATAATGCGTTCATTTCACACCAAGAAAATATTCATAACTCGGCATGCAGAGGCGCTTGGCAAATTTTAAATTCAGATTTGGAATCACCGTTTAGTGCTCTTCAAAATGCTATGAAACTCATTTGACAAGGCCACTTTGAGTATTCGGACCCCCCTTTTCAGCGCAAAGCACTATTTCTTGTGAATTCCGCTATGAAATTAGAAGCAAGCCAGTATCTCGTACGTACTTTTCGCTTTTGATGTTGTGCTTTCCCCAACTTTCATTCAAAGAAGAAGAAGAATCGGAAGCTATTTATTATTTCTGTAAAAAACTGCGAGATTTAGGCTATAAAATCATGTAAATACTGTTCGCTGGAAATGTTTCATCGTTATTGACACATCCCATTGAAATTGACTCTAATGAAATTTTCAGCGAATGATTCATACATAGAATTCATGCCAATCAAGAGCAGATTTGATTTTCATGAAAAATGCAGACACGAAAATCCGAGAAATATCAAATCTGCTCTTAGTTAGCACGAATTCTTCAGCTAGAAAGAGGAGGTCATAGAACCCATGTTTATGACTGTTTCGTTTTATGCTGTGACGCTTGAAGCTTTCCGAACATGTTCAAAAATTTCAAGCCAAAGTTCCTTCGTTCATCAAAATCGACGAAAAAATGTCCAGATTTTTGCGGATGATCTTAAGATATAAGAATCACTGTAATAGGCTCGCACGCATACAATTGCCTCCTCGAATATAAAGTAGTGTGCGTACGGCGCATGCCTGCAGAGGGTAATGAAGACGCCAAATCCTTCATCCTTTATCCTTTATCTTAATATATAGCTTGCAACGGAAAAGAGGAAAGAGAGGAAGCCTACGAAAATCTTTCCCCTTCCATGGAAAAAATGAGTTTGTGGCCCGAGATGTGGAATCTGTCCTTGAACTTTCAAAATGCTCAGTTATGCACTTGAGAGACACCAGCACTCATATCAGGCCATGTAATGGTGGTAGAGCTTGCAGCGTTGTGAAAGATTTGGAAGTTCTTGTTAATGATGCCCTCAAATTTACTGCACATTATGGATTACTTGTCACCAAGCCGCCGACATCGCTGTTTATGCTTTTACGTTGCATCCACAGCAATGAACATGGGCCGTGCGTTTATACAAAACATATGTCTCACCTCACTTGGATTATGCTTCATTTGTTTAGGTCCTTATTCAAAAACATGTGGTGAAGCCCGAAAAAGTTCAAAAGTTTTTTACAAGAATAGTTTTTTATAGATGTTTTCTTGACCCTGAATACCCTCTACTACCGTCCTATGGTGCTCGACTTGCAGTCTTAAAACTGCATAGTTTGAAGTATAGATGTGTTGTTAGCGATAGTGCTCCGCTTTCGTATCCTAAAATCAGAAACGAAATTACGAGCCAGCAAATAGATGGATTTTTTTAAGCAAATGGATTTTTGGGCCCAGCGGAGAGCGTACAGGTGTGTTTAATTTGCATTACAGGAAGCTAGGCAGAATGCTTTTTGCATCCGACTCATTTTTCTTCCGAATCACATGATGGTTAAGCTTTGTACCTCGGGAAACTATTTCTAGTAAAATTGCATCTTCTTTTTGTAATAAATTAGGCTTCATAAGTGTACTGGGATATTTGCATATAGCTGATGTTTAGGTTAGATCTTCTAATCGCTCTATGTTCGCGCTACCATTGATCCTTGCCAGCTGTGTTGTTAACGTGGGCGACGACGGTTCATCGAGTCATCTTCCTCGACCTGCCTGATCGAAATTTGCAGTCGCAATTTTTTCCATTCCGAGTATACCGAATGCCTTTTCATGTTTTTTTCTATTTTTTATCTTTTTGATGTTATACTAACTTTATTGAGGTTGTTATGTTGTTGTTCACCAACAAAGTGGCGCGCCTATGAGCACAGTAAATAAAATAAGTTTCTTTGCTTGCTTGTAATTTCGGATATCTTACATTGATCCATGAGAAAGGTGCTCAATGTGCAAGATTTTTTCTTTCAAAAAAAGACTTTTAGAATTTGCCGTGATCCTGCTTGAAAAATGATAATCTTGAGTACAGGGTGCCTCAAAAGTCTGTGAGCTTAGAACGTCTTTCGATAAAATCAGAAGGGAAGGACCTAGAATCAAGAAATTTGTTTACGCATCACCCAGAGTATTACAACTATAGCCTACCTCTCTCATTTTGAAAAGGCCTCTTTTCGCTTTAGCGCAAGCCTTCACGACTTGGCTAATGCAGCTGTCGCGGTACGCAGGTATTCGTAATGGATTTCATTCCACCCCTTCACAACAAGTGCTTCATTCATTTAGGAACTGCGCAGCATGACAGAGCAAACTTTTGTCTACAATATGCTTTGGAAAAAATTTTCTGCAAAGTTCGGTGATAAAAATAATGCAATTTCAATTGGAGGCATGCATACGTCGCATGCCGAAAATTCGAGTACGACTGCTTGAAAAGAAAACGGAAAATCAACGTCTAAGGACATAAAAATGTTTTATTGAACAAATTTGAATAGAGACTTATAAATATAAAAGACACATGGAAAGAGAATAGCCTCGCTCGCAGTGATTGCTGCTCTTCTATAGCTTCCAAGTTTGTTACAATTACAGGAGGTCCACTGGTAGCTTTCCACATTCGTGAATTCTTATTTTTCTTTTTCGAAAAAATAGCTACTGACGAACACACCTGTTAGCATGCAATAGCGCAAAGCCTCGTCTACGGTGTAGGCGCTGCTATGTTGTAGAATATTTTCGCTATTTTCAGTTATGGAATAAATTGTAAACGCCAAAATTTTTGAATTTTGGCTTTGCAAAAGTACTAGTTTGATTATTTTTTTATTACAAAAACATTTGGTAATTCTTTTAAGCTCAAAAAGGTTTATTTTGTAGAGATTGGTTACGGCATTATGTAACATAAACTTGGAATCAAACTCATCAGTAACTTCGTAAGTTAGTATGATACAAAGTAGGCTCCCAGATTTTTGACGCACCCTCTATTTTCGTTGAATTGCTTCCATCCCTCGAATTTTCTCATACTACTGTTTACCGCTGGAAAGCGCCTGATATGTGCTTAGATAGAACTACCTTCAAAGGAATCCATCGAGATACGAGGAAGTTATGATTTTTTGTGGGACGCAAACTTTTGGGACAACCTGATGTTTCCTATTGCATAAGAAAGAGAGAGAAAGAAAGAAAGAAAGAAAGAAAGAAAGAAAGACAGACAGACAGACAGAGAGAGAGAGGCAGAGTCAAGCGAACTCATTCATTTCTGACCAGCTGCATGTTGTCCTTGATTTGGATGCATAACTTACGTAGATATCTGGTGCGTAGATGTTCGGTATCGCATACTTGCACGCATTCTCAAAGGGATGAAAGGTAATCTTATGAGTTCCTCCTTCATCTTGCTTATCACTAAACAATCAAGATACACGTTGATTTAATAACGTCTGGTTTATGAAACTCTTTCTCTAACAACATTCTGTAGCATGTTGGTTGATCAGGATACTAGCAGGCAACTTTACTAGCAAAGCCGCGAAATGCGGCGAACACCGAGAATGAGAGGATTTGGTCTTTCAAACTACACCCACTCATTCTAACTTCCTCTTTCGCTAGACTCCCTTCCTCACATTAACCTCCACCGCATGAGTTACTTCGCTGCCCTAGTTGAAAAGCTTTCGCTCTTCACGTGATGTACATCAACTGGGTCTATGTTCCCATGCGGACATCTGCAACAGACCACGCAGCCGTGCATGGTACAGACGATACGTACAGCTGTCAGAGCGGTGGAGCTTATCGAAGGCATATAGTTCCCTATACGACATTTGCAATGTGCCAACTCAGACAATCGCTGGGGGTAGTAAAGCATCGAAAAATAGAGGAATGAACGCGATTTTGCAAGGCACTTGTTGATTATTTGGTTCGAAAATCAGCAATCTATGCAGCAAATCACAACTGACAACCGATCAACAAGTGGTACCAAAAAGCCGCGCCTTCAGTTTTCCAGTATTCTGCAAGCGGTAGAAAAATCTACAACGCGCATTTTCCGGTGACAGCCTATCCCCGGCGATTGTTTGATAAAAGGTTGCGTGCTACCTTTTTCATGGTCTTAATTTATGGAAAGCGACGCTTCGCGAATGTGTGCTCAGCGAGCGAATTGCAGCGCTTATGTCTGCCCTCTGTACCAAAACCTTAATTGCAAGTAAATACTACTGCAGTCAGCGCTGACTTACATTTCCCCCTTTACCCAGTCCTAGTTCCTATCGTAAACTTGGCTGCAAAATCGATAACGAAAAGTGGTCAACACCCGCTTTGTCTTGGAGTGTATTGTGCCATATAGTGAAGAATACAAGAAAGGAGGATTGAAGGTGTCCCATAAAAATGAAATGCGAGATTTTTGAAGTAGTTTAGTTTGAAGTAGTTTAACTTGATTTGTTGCGCACAAACTGTCTAGCTTGAAAATGGTCAAGATGTTGTTAGTGAACTTGCAAATTCAAATTGCTGGGTAAGCAAAACTCCTTCAAACCCTTTGAGGTCATAGGTTCGCAATATTTTTGCAAATTATCCCAAGAATTCTTTGAAGAGCTTAGCTTGGCAATCCCTCTCCCCCTCAATCAAAAAATATCTGAAATAACTGCCCCTTTTCCTTCCCCTCCCGACGAGAAAATATGGACCTCGGACAATGTCTGACAAAAAATTTGTCTAGAACGCTTCAGGAATGGAATTTATTAGATGTAAATCTCTACTCTCACACCTGTAAATATTTCTCCCGTGTCTTGCATTCTCCAATGTTGATGGGTCATGGTAATAAATATCTGAGTGCTGCCATCCGATAATGCCCATAGTTATAAGGGTGCACAGCAATATCTGAACAAGTGCGGCGATGACCAAGCAGTATTTATTATTCAGAGCTTATCAAATCAATTCCGTGAAATGACAATTGGAAAACCTAAAACTTATTGAGCAAACTTCGATATTAACTCTGAATGATTAGAAGAATGCACGTTTTGAAATTTCAAAATCTAAAAGTTACGCACAGAGCCAGAAATCGTGTTCTTGACGCGCCAACGAACCCTTACTTGCTCGTACGTATTAGGTTAGTGAGAAACTCTATGCCGTTTTGGATTAATTCGAAATCCTTTAGAGTAAAAACAGGCTAACATTTTGTATTATTTTTTGCTTAGTATAACATTTTAATCTCACCGCCAACATTTTTAGAGTGATTGTCTTTAAATACGTTCTGCCAGTTTATGAAGTTTCCAATTTATCTTTTCACGCTGTTTTTCAACTATTTTTTTTTGAGTTGAGGGTTTTGAAAGGTGGCATATTTTATAATGTCACCAAATACGTGTAAAAAATCTTTCAAGGCTGATTAAACTAGGTTTGGTTTTAATAAGTAAATAAGCGATTACCACTCTTTAATATTGGTTGAGTAGTATATGGGTATTGAGTACCTATCTGCCCATTTTTAAAACTGTTGAGTACTGCAATTTTTAGATTCTGATACTACATGGAGAAAAAATAGCTGTAAGAAGGAGGACAAAGATGTATTGTATGGTAGTTATCTGCGTTTCTTTTAATGTTCCTCGATTTTTGTATACACTGAATATTTACTGGGTTGTTCAAAGCTTGTAGAGATGCGTAGTGTAGTAACAAATTGTTGGGGATTTTCTCTATTTCCCGGTTATTGAAGCTTCTACAAAACAGGGAGCGAATATTTTAAAAAACCACTCAAGAGAGGGTAAAAATGATTGCTTAAAACATTGCGGATTATATGAGCACGTGTTACTAAAGTCTCCGAATTAGCTAGTGAAAGCAGAAAAAATGTTAGATTTAGGGCCGCATGCATTAACATCCCCGCAGGGAGGTGATCGCAGCTTACAAAGAAAGCTTCATATCCTAAAGATCCAAACTTCTGGATTTCACGCTGTCTACCCATCCGTAAGTATTCGTACCATCCTTCACTAAGAACATATTGGACAGGGGCGAACAGCTGTACAAGCCGCACTTTCTAGCATTTTGTATGACCCCTGACGATCCCTGGCGGCCAAGCGTCTTTTCTTTGAAGTCACTTTTCTCTCTTCAAAGTTAGCGAGAACATTCCAAAGTTGTACCTTTCATCTAGCCCAACAGCGCGATTTGCGATGAACCGCAAGTCGAATGGTAGGGTTTATCGAAAAATCCAATTTCAATTTTCCATCTGTTCTTATCAGCAACATATTTAGCACTGTTGTGTTAGATGTACAATACAGCTTTGGAAGGTTTCGTTAACTTTGAAGGAAAAATGACTTTGGAAAGACACGTCCGGCCGCGGGTTATCATCAGGGGATTATATAGAAAGCTGGAGAATGTGGCTTATACAGCTTCTTGCTCCCGTTCAAGATGTTCGTAGTGGAGGTTGGTGGGAATACTTACAAACAGGTATACAGAGTGAAATCAAAATATCTAATGCTTCAGGGTATGAAGCTTTCTTTCTAAGCTGGGATCCCCTCAGGATGTTAATGCAGGCGGCCCTTAGTGTACAATAGTAAGAGGGGAGGGGGAGGCGAAAAGCTGAAGTAGCCGACTACCAGATACTGCACACGTAGAGCCGTCAGATACCTCAAACAACAAGATTGTTCTGCTTGATAAAGTACTCAATTTTTGACTGAGGTTGTAATGAATAGCTTTCTTTGGCCTTGAACTCATTTTTTTCGCATCAATACGGAAAGCAGATTTGAATTGGCGTTGCAAGCTCTCACCAATGATAGCAGACTGTAGTAATCGGCCACGCCGACTTCTGACCCTCCCATGTAAAAGAAGTGCTGAGTGGCTCAAAAAGGGCTCAAACTTTCAGACCGACCTGATATTGACGGTTAATGCAAATTGATGGACGTTTTGCAAATTCCTACTATGACGTGCTGTAACTTTCCTAGAAATCTACATCTCTAAATATATAAAGCAGAAAATTTGTATGTTTGTGCACATTCTCCATAGTCATAAAGGAGAGCGGTGAATAGAAAGCGAGCTCAAGATGAGTTTGAATTAAAAGAAGAATTTCGCTACCTGAGAGGTCAAGCACATTAAATTGGCTCCAAACCGGGGTGGAACCCGGGATGCCAGCTCGTTTTTGAATAAGATAAAAACTTCAGAAGCAATACTTTTGCAATACGCGCACATTTACCTACATTCATATTACGAACGGGCAGAAAAATATGGATCATAAAGCAAAAAAATGTTTCTTTTATCCTTGTTTATGACAAATCATGACTGCCTTCAAAGTTTGTTAGTAACTAATAAGTCGCCAATCTTTTAGCAGCTAGTAGAACAGATAAATGAAAGAATATTTGGGAAAAGAATAGAATTTAAATTCAAAAACTCGGCTTTTTTTCAAGCAGTTTGGTAGGCCTTGAATTCTCAAATTCCAGAATTTTTCGATTTTCTGTGTACTCACCAATTAAACGTTTCGAAACTCTCAACGGGCCATACCTTATGCTTACAAAACGTGAGCAAAACTTTGGCGATTGCCTTCTCCAAAAGAAGTTTACAGCTCATAAAATAACGGCAGCTGAGGTGCCAATATTCAAATCAGATTTTTTCATACCTGAAAGTTTTCGAATTTAAAATTCAAATAGTTGGGCCGTTGCGTTAACGTAGACATTTTTTGTTTTATACAACAGATTTTCAAAGAACGCCATCAGTTGCGCTTGAATTCTGGCCAATTTTGGGTGCTGTCACGGCTCGGCGTTCAGAGCAGCTTCTCGGAACAAGGGAATCTGTGTGCAGCGTTTTCCTGTCGCGTCTTTTGTAGTCGCCGCAGGAGCACTCCGGGTGGGAACGATGCCAAGCAGCCGGGTATTTAAGGTTACGCACGAGAGCAGCTTCTCCTCATTGACTGTTTTCGTCATAGGTTGTTCTCTTATCACACTTGGCACTATTTTCAACGGCTCCCGCCTGTGTGCATTTTTATGTTGAACAGTCGAGCACAGAATTGTGTAGTGGACGCCCAGGAGCGCGGCAAGGGTTCTTGAGTTAGTGGATGACCGAGGATGCAAAATTGGAGCTGAGATCGCGCCGTTCCATATGGGTCAGAGCTTCTCGCGGCTACCTCTTAGTAACATAAACATCCTTTATGTTGACTGTTAAAAGCATCGGCAGCACGGGACGATGCGGGCCGTCCCGTGTTATGATTTTAGTTGCCTGCTCTTCTTGAGTTGGTAGTCTCGTAATCCAACGACTTTGTTATGTATTTCATATTTTTTAATTATACATATGAATTTACTTAACGGTTGGTGTTGGGTGATAGTATCGAGTGGGCGCACCAGTTGGTGCACGCTGGGGACGCTTAAGATATTAGGGTTCGGTTCTAGTCGTGCAGGGCAGTCGAGCGAGACTAAGGGGTGCTGAGCACACCGAGCCGTAACAGGTGCGGTTATTTGGAGTTCTCTAACTTCTTAACGGTGGGGGTAGGAGGCGTTCACACATTAGGCAGAGCATAAAAAGAGCTTTTGAACAGATTGCTAAATATAGAAGAAGAAAAAAAATGGGAAAAAGTTCTAAGGCTTATAAAAGCTCATTATTTTTACATCAGCATAATATTTTTCCTTTCCGTAACTCGCCACATTTCCTAGTAAAATTTTATTTGATGCTATTAAATATTTGATCAGCTCAAACCTCATGGAGTATTAAATGGTGAAAAAGTCGGGTGTTATTAGATTCATCCTCCTCTTTTCAATGGACGGTTTTTTTAAATTATTGAAGTCCTTGATAGAACCACCACCACCTTGTTCTGAAAGCGCCCCAGGCCATACACAAAGAAAAGAAAAATTGATAGCTTGAAGCGATAAAAGCTCACTTGCTTTTTGAAATTAGTTCAACCCATAAATCATTCTTGACTATTCTAGATTCTGAGAGTTTATCAATGTTAAATGTGTTTCAAAAGTCTGCTCAATCAGATGGTTTCAAGAAAGATCTTATCAAAAATTTTGGCAAGCTGTGGAGAGGAGAAACAAATTATTTTATATTGTGTAGAGTTTGCTCTATGAATAGTACATCACGTAAATCATTAGTATGGAATTGTTTACTATAGGAATCACCTAGCGTTGATCTGCTACCATGTATGCACTTACTTTACATGTTGTGGCAGAAAATCAGGAACTGACACATCTTCCTTTAGTACCTATCTATGACTTATTTTCTACAAACGTTTATGACTTCAAATATGTAAAAGTGTAGATGCTCCAATTGTGAGAAATATCAATCTACTTTAACTAACAGAATATAACATTTTCTATTTTTGATAATCAAAATATATCTCCATGCGTTGAAAATTTTCCTGAGCGATAAATGAGTAAAAATGGAGCCAATGGAGTCACAGAGCAGTAAAGAAGTAAGTAGATACGTATTACTTACTGTAAATAGGAATAATTTTCCTGCGGAGCTCCTCTTTGAAGTGTGGTTCACCATTTGATTATACCCAGATAATGTTATGTCGATAATACACTAACACAGCTACCCACTTCAAGGAAATACAGAGATTCTTCCTAGAAAGAAAAAGAGATAAACAAGAAAATTACGGCGAAGCAGCCTCTGACGCTGAGCTCAAAAAATTTTTGAATAGAAAAAAGCCAGGTCTTGCTAGGTCTAGGCGTTTGACGTAAAATACTTATAAAGAGCTTTGCGAATAACATGAAGCGACACAATGAGATGTACGTAAATCTACTGTAGCCTTTTCGGACGTGGTATTCACGTACGCTGATTTTTTTTGCTCGTCAAAAAAAAGAACAGTCATATCGTTCAATAACACATACTATCAGCTCTGCTTTGTTATGATATTCAATTGTACTCTTATAATCAATCCGATGGAGTGGCTCAAAAATAATGCGATCTCTTTCTCTCGTTTTGGATTTATCTTCAAACTAATTAGAATATTGACGGACAAGTGCATGAACGTTACCCCAAGCTGCTATTCACTTCTGCACTTATGGTAACCCAACTGAATCTTCCTTAAACTGCTAAAATTCCACATGTCTTAATCCCCTTACTTCTTCCATTTGAGCACTTTTTATAACGTTTCTTTGCTGAATTGCTGTTAATTAGCTGTGCGTTCAGTGTTTCCCTTCAAATTTGAGGAAGGGAACCGTCTGGCGTTATGGCTAATGAAATAGCTCAAGTTTGCACAGCCAATGATCTATGTTTTGCGTTGCCATTTCCGCACTACCATAACATTAGCAAATTTTGTTCTTCTCATAAAAAACTAACTAACCAACAAATTGCAGAGCACTGGCTCACATGGCACTCGTACCCGCCGCCATTAAGCAATGCCAGCCAACAATGCGCTGCGCTCGGCGCACCTCTTGCAGCAGTACCGTTAGTATTACGTATTGATAGTGACATATCGAAGGCAGTGTATACTTTACAACTTACAGAAAGGCCAACACACATAAAAGCTTGCCTATCGATTTGCTCTTAAGCAGTTAGCGACGTCTGTCGAGTTAGCGACGTCTTTCTGTCTGTCGAATCTTAGCTTCGCTAACTTTAGCTTTGATTTTTCTACTTCAAAGAGAATCAATAGCGCAGTTGCAGTGCGCGCTGTCGATGATCATCGGGGGGTTCGATCGCGCGTCAGCGCGCAAGTTTGCGGCGACCAAAACGTGGTCGTGAACAGCACGTCCTCCAGTCGGACACGTTGTGTCTTCGGTTTCTTTACATTGCGACATATCTCAAGGATTTACTACGGGCCCACGTGCGCGGATACTTCTCAAATTTCACAGTTGCTTAAAATGATAAAATTTGCATTCTAGCAGTTACAAGAATTACTACACATGCAGATGGCCTCATATAGGTTTTACTTGAACGAGTATAAATGTTCTAACATCTATCCAAGTTTATGCGTCCAGTAGATTCTCTTCTTCCAAAGACCTACAGTTATTTTCATAGTGCTCCACTGCTTTCTGATCACCCACTCGGAATAACTTCAAACGAACCTACGATAAGAACAATGTGAATTTCTTCTGTCTTGCTTCTTTTATATGCAAATGCTCATCCGCCCTCATTTTCCTATTCTTTTGGATCGATCATAGAATTAATGTCGAACGATACATAAGTCCTATCAGCACTGTGAAAGTGAAACAAGGACGGAGGTTTCGAAAGTTGTTGATTAACTTGAGAGGTAAGTTCTGTACGTGACTTGCAAAGTACTCTAAAATTCCACTCGTTTCCTGTGTAAGTCTAGAATTCTATCGTCCACATCTTAGAATTGTTCGGGAGTTAAGAAGTACAACTAGATCAACCAAACGTCGTTTACCTGAACTATCCATGATCTTGTATATAAAGCTGAATGTCTATCTGTATGTCTGCCTGCCTGTATGTATGTATACTGCAAATAAAATTCCAATTTTGGACCAATCCGGAATGTTGCGCACATACACTCCGTGGCGTAGGTGTCGTAGGTTACTTTTCGCTAACAATCGACTTCGATTTTACTGATTATTTGCGAAGCTTGAGCTACGGGGTGCGAGATGATAATGGGGGGGGGGGCAAGTGAGCATGCTGATACGAATACAACGTTGGTTCAAAAATATCCATTACTTTCATCGATTTTACTGATTTTTTGCGAAGCATGAGCTACGGGGCTAGGAGATGGCACAGGAAAGGGGGGAGGGGGATAGCCGAGCATGCTGATCCTAACACAGCGGGAATAGGGACTGGCATGCAGGAAAGGTTGTACAAGGATAGGGATGAGACCTTTATCATAGTGTTTTGACAGGACCGGGCGGAGCCGGGTAAGCCAGCTTACATAAAATGTTGATTCAAAAAAGTAATTGTAAAGGGATAATCTTTTTATTTTCAACTAACTAAGACTCTGACGCAAATATTTTGAGCTCAAGGTTAGGTATAGTTCATTTATAAAATCGTAACGACGGACTTCACTGCGGACTTCGCGCCCACATAAGCATAAAACGCTTATGTAAGAAGGCATTGCATCAACATTCAGCTCAGTTACTTCCAATGTCTGAATATTACCATACGTAAGCAAGAAACCTTTCGACTAGAGATGAAAACCAAGAAAATGCGATTTTCGAAAGTGGCGTGCGTGTCGTGTCGCGCCATTGTCACGATTTTTCGAATGCCCTATAAATATATGAATATCTGAATTGATTCTTGATATTCCGTTGAAAAAACCTTCTTTTTCTGTACTTGTCATCTCATTGCCAAATTTCAGCTCCACTATGAAATCAGCTCCTGTCTCCCCCCTCCCCCTTCTTCCCCATTCCGTTCCTTGCCGTTTCGCTGAACTTTTCTCATCCATCTTCTCGTTTCTGAGTCATCGTGTCATGATCTGCCCAGTTAGCCAGTTGTTCAGTTTTTTGTCCAGATTTCCCTACTTTTCTCAGATTTGTCATCGCTTTACGCCTTTCCAGTTTCATTACTGAAACTGGTCCTGTTTTCCACTTTCCCTGCTATTACCATCATTTTTATTCATTTTGCAACCAAAACAGTTTGTTGCCGTGCTGCAATGCAGCGTAGTAGATCCCCCCTCGTTTCGCAGAACATTCTAAAGTCATCACTTTTCATGACCAATTGGCCATTTTTAGTCTCTAAATGCACTTACTTACGTTACGCTTTGTTCTCTTTGTTGCACCTTCGATAATGGCGGGCAAGGGTCTAAGCCTGAGTTTTTTTTATCGGTCCTGTAAAAGATTTTCGCCATAGCTTTTTGCGTTACATCGTTTTTTTAAGTATAGATATTTTTCAAATGGAAGAAATCTCTGTGAAATTGAGCCATGCGGGGGCATATCGCAGATTTACGATTGTGGTAAGAGTTCATGAATTGCTAGAACTGTTGAAAAAGCAAAATAAAAACTTACCTGGGAAAATTTTCCCTCAATATGCTGTGCACTTTCATATAGAGACATAAGGGTTCGATTTATGTGTGCACCGAATTTTTTGTTTCTAGGTACTTTCCTTCAGATTTTATCTGAAAAATACTGAGCTCCCAGACTTTTGCCCCACCCGTACTTCTTTGACTGCTTGTGTCGATGGAACAATACAATTGTTGAATGATTTCAGCATTCTTGTTGAGAAAAAATTTAATTTTTTGGTGTAACTTATAATAATGACTTATGTTCTTCCAATATTCCCCCGTCTCCGTGAGTTCAATTAGCGGCAGTCCAGAAAACATCTACACTGCAACTGTGTGCTAATAAGCGTCAAGAGAGATTGCCAAAGTCTCAAGGTAAGAACAAACTTTGAGTTCGAATTTTTTCACTTTAAGAACTAATGCAGCCGCTCACTCCACCAGCTACCATAAGCATTCGTACTCTGAAGCCTTACAATTATTCCAATTTAATGAGCACAATCGGCTCATTTATTTGTAACTTCAGTACATGTATGTAATTGGTAGAAAATGTTTGCGAGACTCAAGGCATGCTGCAGTTTTCAAAATTATGCGATTATAATAGTTTATATCATCAAATGTATCTTGATGATATGCGGGTCACTCCAGTTTGCCATCTTAATTTGGAATCGTTCCCTTGTAAGATTAATTTACCGACGATGTGCGCACAATTTTGCAAACTGCACAACTTGATGAGATGAGTCCAAACTACTTTCTATATCTGCGATACCGTTCTCCGAAAAAAGTTACGAGCGTTTGAATGTGTGAAGTCATTAGGGTTTCAATGTATAATGTGCTTTGAAATTTAACTTAAACTTGCATGACTAGCATGATATTGAGTGTACTGATTTTGAGAAATGTTCACATTCAACGAAAAGAAACGCTAAGAATTTTTGATTAACTAATTCCTGAGGTATAGCCCTGTATATCTGCCAAATTCGGACTTTTCATTGCTTGTAGCTTTCACCAAAAAACTTTAGTCGTTTTTAGATGACCAAAAACACTTATTTGTGTTTCCTTCGAATGTGAGCTTCCTCGAAATTAGTACACTCACTCAGACAATCGACCGGACCCCTCCGCCGGACAGTCCGAATCTGCCAGAGTCGCGCCGGACCCAGTTGACCAATGAGAGAGGGGCAAATGGGCGGTCCGTCGAGGTGACATCACTGGCAGGCAAGTGGAAGGCTTCTCCGGCCCTGCTGCAAAGGTACGCCATTTCTCCGGCGCGACTCTGCCAGATTTGGCGGATTCGCGCCGGAGAAATTTGCCCGGTGCGAGTCCGCCAGATTTGGAAGAGCCGCGCCGGAGAAAATCGGAGGGGTCCGGAGCAGAAATGGGAGGCCTCCGGAGCAGAAAATGGGAGGTATCCGGAGCAGAAAATGGGAGGTATCCGGAGCAGAAAATGGGAGGTATCCGGAGCAGAAATGGGAGGGCCCCGGAGCAGGCTGCGTATCGATTTGGCGCGTAGCAAGCAAACGTCTAACTCCACGGTGATGAGTCCTCTGTTTACGCTCTTTCTCCATATTTTAGTCGTCGTTTCTTTGATTTTGTTGTTTTTCCGCGTTTC